CACCACCACCACCACCACCACCACCACTGTAAATCGCCGTCGGGCTAATGTAAGCTTGTATTTAACGTTATTTGATAAGGAGATTATGCTCTTCAAGGACGTGGTCAGCAAATTAGATGATAGGTGGAGGGTCTTGGTGAGGGACTTTGCGGTGTTTTTTGTGGCTATCAGAAAGCACAGTTTTCGATCAAAATGTCCGTTAACAGTGGCCACTGTCCTGAGTGTTACTTTGGTGCAACCGGTTACCGCAGTACCACCGGCTGCGTTGAGGTGAACAGGAAAGTGCTCAATCAGGGAGTTCGGGGCTCCAGATGGGCGTCCTTATTCAGGGCAGAGAACGAGGGGTCGGTCGGCATGGGCGCTTTTTTGCTCACATTCTTCGTGCCGATTTTATTGTTGTTTCTGTCGTTAGTGGAGGTGATGTTGCAGCCGTTATTGTAACTGTGTGGGCGAGGACTTTTTATAAGTTCAAAGGGATTTTGATGATGCAATAGCAGTAGGAGTACGAGGCAATGCTTTGGCATGGGCGTGGTTCTTGCGGTTGTTTTCAATTGTCGGTTTCCCAGATTGATTTAACATGGAAGATTTCTGCCTCGTAGTTCCTACCGAGACTGTGCGAGATCTCTCCAAAAATCTTGAGAGCTGGTACATTCCAACGAGATATCCGACGTTTAAGAGTGCTGGAGCAAGGGAACCTTTGATTGGTTTCTGGCCAAATAACACGAATAAAAGAATCGTTTAAAAAGTCTCTGTAGTGAAAACCTGTCTTCATTTTCATTGAAAACCCAACAGTCTGCATCCCTTGTCATCCGCCTTTAGAAATATTTCTACTAGCAATTCAGTATCGACAAAAACAGTGGGGACTGGAACGGCAACTTCAGGCTTGTTGGCCGTCGTCAGCCAGTCACACCTAACCCCAAGTGTGGAACATCTGGGATCACGGAATGGAATGCCTTACCATTGGAGCACTGGCCTGTGTCCTGTCTGTCGTCAACAGGACGAGCAGGTGTCGTAACATGGGCCGGAATTTTTCTTCAGGTTCCTACCGCTGCTTAGCCTAAATCTATGCATTTTAAAGCAACTGCAAAGGATAAGCAAGCGAATATCGACAAGCGACCAGCACATAAAAGAACTACAAATAGTAATAATAGAAAGGAATTCAGAATAACCAACTTACCCATGCCTACTTTGGTGCCGTCAATGTAGATTAACGCAGCACGGTTCGATTATTAATTTGAGAAAAAAATTAACATTATGCGCACACTAGAAGTGGTCTACTGGATACTTTGTTATCGTTATTTAAGGCACAAGTTTTTATCAACAGCTGGTCCTATTAAGCTAAATAAAGTTTTTACGGGTAGTTGAAGATTAATTTTCATCTGAAAGATACGTTTCCGCCTCATTAGAAGTCACTAACCGAATATGTGAAACTACGGGTTTTGCAACCCCCAAGACTCGAACACGCTTTCTGTTGGGAGAAAGTTCAGCGTTCTAAATATTGAGCCACTGGATCGTTGCCCTGTTAGTTGCAGTCGTGTATGTCCCTTAACGCGATCGGTGAGCGCCGCTCCGCCATTTTTAAAATGCACTTTCGCAACCGACGAGGCAAGAAGCCCGTGGATAAATGATTAGGACTTTGGGTTTTCTATCAATAGAATGAAGGCTCAAGCCACAGGGCGGCAAACAATGGGGTTGAGTATGGCTGGCTGATGACGGCTAATAGGGCAGAAACGACCATCCTACTCCAACTAGCCTTTGTATGGCATACTATTAGTCCCCTTTCTGTCTGAATTTGAAACTTCGCCCCTGTTGCATACTGCTGCAGACTTATTCCACATTTTAAATTTTACTTCATTTCCAATTCATTTTCTAACAAGATTAGTCAACTTGATATTTGGATTTGACATTCGACTTCCCATAACATCCCTCAAATTTGACTAAGAGTATTTGTGGATGTTTGTATTTTGCTTGTTTTTAATGCTGTTCGATCATCGTTTTTCCTATTTTACTAAACTAACGATAACCTGAATCGGAGGCGTTCCGTTTGAATGAGCCATATTGCTGCAGGTGTCTTTTTACTCCGAGTGACGAAGAAATCTGGCCGGTCAGCGAGGCGATTTATTTATTATTTTGATCTTCCTATCTCTTGCTGGCGCCCATCATCAGAGGTAGTGGCAGCAAACAAGCAAGCGACAGTTATTGGGGCTATTGACTAATCGAAAATAAACGACATATTTCACTATACCACCTACCGCGATCTGCTCACCACAACTGTCACGATTTCCGATGCGAAATGAAACCGAAGAAGTAAAATTGAGATTGGACCATTCAGTAGAACTCATCAGCATTTTGCTTCTCAGTACCTAATAATTTGTGCCTTGGGCAAAGCGAATGGAGAATAGGACTATTTAAAATAAGTGTTTGACTAAGCAAAATCTTTCTCTCTCCTTTCCGTATTATTCGGTTTTCTTTTGTTTGGTGCTTCACTGAGAACCTGAATGAATCTTGACTGAGATCACAGAATGGGAGTTTTGGGATTATGACGAAATATCGGAGAATTAGTACGTTTATTTTAACAGAACTCATGGTTGCGAAAAGAGCAGTTGTGAAGTCACAGCACAAGTGCTTTAAGGAACTCTTCTTCTGCATAAGTTCGATCTGGGAAATGAAAACTAGCCCTAGGCTGGCTAATTTGGACTACGGCAAATCGAAACCGTTCTTTTATCTTTCTGCCATGCAGAGGACGCACAGAGGGAACCTTCGACGACCAGTGCAACATAATTAACACATTAACTAGCATTACATCTCCGCTTTTGCTCTACAGCCTACGCTCAGGTCTACATTATCTCGAAAGATTTTTAAATTTCGTCTCCTTGTTGTTCCGAGAGGAACACACGATAACCGAGGCTGTTCACATAAATTGCTCTTTAATTATATTGGTATACCCATGGGACGATTTTATTTTGTTGCTTGTTAAAATACCCATAGGTAAGCGCAACTATGACGGCGCTAAATCCCCTGTTATCTTTAACAGAGTCCTATGCATCCCCAAACCCATTCGGATAGTCAAACAGCTATCTTCCTTTTTGTATTATGCATTTGAACAGTGCACCAGCATCCAGTAATGCTGAGAAAGTGATAAACTAACAGTGAGATAAGAGGCGAGTAGTTTATGAGCAACTTTAAATGACAAGTTGATAAATCCGTTAGAGGAGACACGCATGTAGTGAAGGAACCGAAGAATGGAAGAAATAGAAAATTGTCGACACTTCTGTTCTCCAGAAAATTCGGGTTTCCTCATAATTTTCGGAAGGACGTAGCTGCCACTGTGGCCGGCGAGACGTGGCTAGGTTTGAACCCTTGCTTAAGATCATCCACAATCGCGAATGGTGCTTCGTAGGTTTCATTATCACCTTTCAGCTGTAAGAAGATGAAGATGCTGTTAGATACTACATAAATACCCCTAGTCTGCCATGAGATCATTTTATGACTGAAAAAACTTTCAGATGAGGGTATTTCATCAGATATATTAAAAAAGCGTCCATAACCATCTATGTGGATCCAAAAGGCACTGGGTTTGGTAATCTTACCCTGAGGAAGTAGTCGCAGTCGAAGCCGGGCATTGAAACAGAGGGCATGTCAGACTTGATTGCTGCATTTTCCTGCTCAAATACCTGCGAGAAATCCTTATTGGGTAGTTTAGCAGTGTTCATTGGGTCCTCGTTGTAGTTATTTATAACAGAAGAGGAGGATTTTGAAGAACGGGAAGGCTTCAAGTTCGGCGTTAGTTGTCTTTCATCATTGATACCTGCATCAGGGCATCTGACCCTTTGTAAAATGACAGCGTTGAGATCATCGTATTTCGGGGAGGTTCCATCTTTCAACTGCCCAAGACCGTAGTCGATTCCACTGCCCTTCTTGATATACTTTTTAGCCACCTGAGATAAGAAAAAAATGTGGGAATTGATCAAACGGACAGTGTTTAACTGTCTTTTTTAATACAACTGTTAAAACCTGGACACCGGTCACGATTTCGTATGCTATTATAATGATGATACCGATTTAAGCACATATCGAGAGCATGGCATAGATCAAATTACATTCTGGAAAACATAAACACTTCGTTTTAATGTCGAAAATAAACTTCCCTCAAAAATAGATTTTATTTGGATGAGCTTAGAATCATTCAGATATATACTTTAATTAGAATGCGAAACTACATAAAATTAACTGGACTTAATTTTTGCATGGATTTTGACCAGGATTCATTAGAAGCGTTTGTAGTACTTTTCATGCTAATTGCTCTTATCCTTTTGACTTTTAACATGTTTTTATGCATTTTGGCTCCAGGAGGTTTAAACTGTCAAGAATTTTAAAAATACTCTGAATAACTTCTTTTAGTTTCTTGGTGTCAGGTGTCCGTTTCATCTGCCGTCTTATGCGTATGAACATTTTCAGACAGATAAAATCCAATCATGTGTATAAATGACAACTTCTCATGACAACCTCCAGGCGTTTTCATGAAAACCGCTGCTTAAAATACGACTCACCGCCATTTCGTTGCCTCCATCCTTAAGACCAAGGCCACCCTGCGTGTCACCATAGCCCTTGACGTTCATAGAGACTCTGTCAGTTCGAGCAGTCTTGCCACCAAGTTTCACCTCAGCTTCGGCTGAATAGCTAAAAGGAGTGCAAGCGAAATCGAAATTATATTCTGACATGGTAAATCAGGTCATTACCTGGCAGATAAATGCCCATTGGCGAAAATGCGAGTTAAATGGACTTAATCTGTATTCTCCCGCCAAATCATATCCCTTTTTGTCACGAGATGTTAACCGATAGGTGTACATCTCCTTCCCGATAAATGATCACGTGATCTGCGGTGACGGAAAATACCAGCTGGAGAAGCTCCCTCATATGTCGGCTCACGAAGTACCTCAACAATCTTATAGAAACCTTTTTTGAACCGTACGGCCATGCGTGAATATACTTAAGCCTCTGCTTGCTTGCTTTTGGAAGGAAATGAACCCGATGTTTGCATAGATTGCGTCTAATTTCCAAAAGACATCAGTATCGAAATCAATTTAACATTGACTGTCGCCCTCATGATTAAAATCAATGTGATTTGAACATTTCTCACATGTTAAAACTACTATTTACAGGTATCATGTGATATGAAAGACGTAGGAGTACTATTTGGTATATACCTGTGAAAAGATCGTGCAACGCACCGACCGGAGGTAAAATAACTGTTGACTATGCAAATATCCTCAAGTGGCCCATGAGGGGCATAAACGTCTTGGAGAACAGCAAACACACACAGGAAAGCACTGCCACATTACAGTACTTTTTTCAACGTCAAAATTCGTGTAAAATATCTCTCACAGTTTAATCAACGGTTAAACACTCAACTCTGTTGATGCATGGGACTTTTTGGTTTCTCACACAGGCTACTTCTGAGCCCATGACTGACATTTTAAATCTTTTCGACAACGATTAACTTAACTACAACTTACTTATTGACCACACTTGCGCCGTTCGTTGGTGACACGTAAGCAAAACTTGGGATAGCATTGGCAGGCACTTTAACTTCGAATGGAATAGCGTTTGTTCCAGCTGGAAGTGTCACTTTACGAGTATCCCTATCTGGCACGGCTGTGAAAACTGTGGGTTGCGGCTGTGAGCCCTGAGGCTTATTTTTGTCAATTACTTTCACTGGTAAGATCACCGCGTTCTTTGATCCATATCCATTCCCCTATAATGTTAACGAAAAGGTCTCAGCAAGAAGTAATAGCACCAGGACAGAAAGAAAATAGACCAAACACAATTAACCAATTTTTCTTAAATCAGACTCTCGAAATATGTATGTGCCAATCAAAAGCGCAGGCATAAACGTTTGTTCTGGATTCCCTGGATTCTAAGAGATCTCCGCAGGATTTAAATTTTCTGCTATTCTATAGAAAAATAAAATATGCAACTGCATGAGTACCTGATTATCGGGGCATATGTTGTTCTGAAGCTACTGAAATAAGGGTTTAAAATGAATATGCCTAGGCCATTTGATAAGACTTCCTCTTACCAGCTTAACGGAGAACATTAAGGTGGCAAAATGTATACGAAGTCCACGAGTCAAGGAAGAGAAGAGATCTGGGAACGGACATCGACAGCAAACTCTGTCATTGGATGCCCTTACTTAAACGTGACGAATATCTTGCGTGATCCCGACAAAGAGAAGACGATGCTTAAAATCGTTTGCATAGCTACTTCAGATTTTCAAATTAGAAGGCAATTATACGGATCTGGATATTCCTTATAAAACCGGGTTGGATAAAGGTCTTTTATTGATTTGGAAAGTTTATTTACGAGAGAATTGTGTGCCTCTAAAATATTCCGGCCCGTTAGACAGACGAGTGGAATTAGGGATTATTATCTGGTTAGCCTTTATTGCTCTCTGACTCATATCCAACCAATCTAAGGCGACCTTTGTGCAGGTAGGAAAGCTCTACTTAAATTGAGGGTCAAACGAGATGCCTTTAACGGCATCATTTAATTATAACGTCGTCAATGAACTTTCTACTTCAATGACTTCGCCCATTAATTTTGAGTTGACAGATTCTTGGCCGATATGCTGTATTCAAAATGACATTAACTGCCGAGCAGTACACTCTAGTCCATCGTTGCGCTAAAGCAACACGAGAATCTATTTGTCTACTCAACTCTCCACTCAACGCAGTCAGTCGCACACGATCCAATGTCCGCAAAACAGCTTTGGTGGAGTCGTTGTATGTGGACGCACTTGACCTTGATGCATTTTTAAAAGCATATTATGCACTAAAGTTTGCACCGGAAAAGCACAGTCTTACGTCAATGATGTCGAGGTGGTGCAAAATGAAGGGAAAAACGCATAGCAACAAAACTTGCCGGCTTCACTGTTCCGTCCCTATCCACCGCTACCATCGTGCGATTAAGGTCAACCACGACCTGGTCGAGCCTAGTAGGCTGTTTAAGATTGAGAAAGACGCGGCCTGGGAGGTTGTTACCCTGATAGACGTCATTGTCTTTGAATTCAATTCGTATTTCATTTACGGAGTTATCGAGTGGGGACCCAGGTGCTGGACGGAAGTCGCCGTGGATGGGCCAAGGGGCTGTATCGTCGGTTAGATATTCTGCAACAACAGGGCGATTTAGTATGCAGATTGTCTTTAAGAGAAGCCTTGTTTGAAAAACCAAGTAAGTCTTTCGCATTTGGGTCAAAAGATTGAGATTTCCTAAGTCGAAATCCTTTGCACTTGGAAATTACCAAGAATGCATAAACTATTTTCATCTATTTCAGTTGGCCCTTGGATTGACGGTAGCAGGATAAACTAACGCAAAAATCATTATACTAATCTTAAACAAACGTTTTTTCTTACAGAGACCTTCTTTGATCTTCTCGTCCGCAATACTATGTAGAATAACTAATTACATATGTTTTCTCCAGATCAGCCTCAAATGTAATTCATCAGCATATTATGTACTTGTAGCTCTGAGTTTGTAGTCTTAACTCGCTTGTACTCAAAAATACTGAATTGTTTAATAAATACAAATCATGCACTTTTAAAACTACAGTCCTGTTCTAAGTGACTCATAAAATATATAGAAAAGGCCCAAAAACATATTGAAATAAAGCCATAGTATCCGGGTTGGCCAGGCCAAATTTTCATAAAAGAGCATATAATTTAAACTCCCTTATTCTGGTTGTACATCGTAAGGTGGGCACGAGTGTCTTTGTTACAATAAAGGATGTAAAAATTACAACGGATTACCATTTGTCGTCGGTGCACTCTAAAATTTAAAAAAGGGATACAAAAATTTACGCGAGGTCTTTAACAGATGATCCCGTTGCTTGAATGTCGACGCCACTTAAATGACAAAGACTATGTGAACAGGCGTATAAAACTGAATCACTTGGTCTGGATATGATGGGAACTTTCGGTGCTGCCTTTACTGCCAGGCGAAGGAAGAGGATACGAATAAGACGAACGCAAATATTTTCCCAGCACACATCACGTATCCCCTCAAGTACATCATAGTGTGCAGATAAATTAACGACCGACAGAGAACGACATAATTTCATAAGTGACTGGGAGTGGGTGATGCAACTCTTCAGGAGTGGTGTATCGGGTCAGCGGAGGTTTTTGTAAGAGAACCAAACACAGAGTTGGCAGATTCACTTAATGACAACTATCGTAAAATAGGTCAAGGTCCACTTTCTGAACTACAATAGACGGGGCATAATTAACGAGTTCAAAATCAGCATCAGGACGTCATGTCATTCGGATATGAGAATAATTGACTTTTTGAACTAAAGGCTATATTTCTTCGTAAAGGTAGGCCATTGAGACCAAACACCTGCTGGTATTCAGCTTTCTTATCAGCAGTAGTTGGTTCCTGCAACTTTAATTCCACGCAATTTAATCAGTCCAATACAAAGTTAACTGCTAGTTGTATTTCCTTATATCAGTTGTCCAACTTATTAGCCAAGGTGTAGAATTAAAGGAGCAATTTTCCCACGTGGTGCCAGCGAAGATTGTGCAATTGGTTACAGTCACCTTAAACGGACGGTTTGGCAAAATGAAATATATGGTTGGGATGTTGAAAAATAAATAAACACTACATACCTGGTCTGCCCGTTCGTGGAAATCTCCTAAAACATATAAGATTTTCATGGTTAAAACACAGGTTTCTCGCTAAGTATATCACAAGTTGTAATACTGATGTGAGATTTAATTATAATGTTCGACGGTTTCACTTTTATTGAAAAAGACGAAATCAGTAACCCCTGCACAGAAAGCAATTCAAGTTTTCTGACTAATTGCAAATATACCAAAGGATTGGTATTTACCTGTCTTTACCAGCATATCCATCTTCCTTTTTAAACATTCGAACGGTTTTGTGTCCACTACAATTGAGAGAATTCGAGGCGCGCTTCAGAAAAAGGGTGCTGTATTTCGTAAAAGGTAATACAAGCTAGCCGATAAGACACCCATGGGACATTGCATAACACATGATTTTTTTACCCAAACTAACGGAAAATAAATACGTATACGAAAAAAGTTTACCGTTCATTTGATGTCCAGGTCCTTTATGTGCCGTACGTTAGCAGGAGTTTCTTACATAATGGAACATAATTATTCCTGCCAACGCTAATGTAAATACAATCGCATTGACCTCCCATTACCGTATTCTGTGCTTAGACTTGTCTTAGGCAGGAAAATCAGTCATGTGGGGGAGGGCGGGAGAGTACCAATTCCGGAGATAGGGAGCCAACTGGCCGAGCAATCATTGCGCAATCATCCAACATCCCACCTTTATCTGCGACTGTTTTCGATGATGGGTTCGAGTGAGAATTCGGAACGTCAGGCCAATAAACTTCATGTTCACTGATCGCATCTTCTTCTGAACTGTTTCTTGGAATTTGCCTGTTCGTTTCTATCGACTAACAATCGTGATGCTAAAGCTTATGATAAAATGTATGCAGACGTGCTGATCTGTTTAAGTGCTAGAGATGTACAGATTTGCGTTCAACATTACTGCCAATATTTTACATTACTCTCCAACAGAAGCAGACTGAGTACTCAAACGCGAGTGCAAAATTTACCGACTAAATAAACCATTTCGACTAGTCAGCCAATTCGAAATCAGACAGTCATGCTGATTCCAAGAATAATTAAAGGCGACATTGTGGATTATCTCCGACCATATTTTATAAGATTGGCATAAATGGAATAATACTTACCATAAGGGAACTCCTTTCCCACAGCATCAGTCCTTAGCTTAGGAACGTACTTTCCTATAAAACAGAAGCAATTATAATCGTTCCATGTCTCAGAGGAAATCCAATGGATTTATAAATGCAATGATTTTTATGCGCTTACCAGCCTTTGGACCTTCACGAACGTCTGTCTGGACTTTGATTAGACTTCTGTCGTTGGCTGTATAGTTAAGCAAACATCAGATGTAAGCTTGAAAACATGAGTATTCTGGTGAATATGCTGAACACTGCATTTATATTAGTATACATACCAACTTTGGTCCATCCGTAGAAGGCATCCTCCTCAGTGACGCACTGGACCGCTGTGAAGCATAGAATCGACGTGTTACAACAACAGTCAATCAGAGCGAAAAATAGGCGCAGATTGTCTACCAGCTCACAGTGTACTACTTATTGAACACTAGGATTAATCGCATTCCTACTTTTGGACAACAAATGACGGAAAGGTTGTAGTACCCATTTCCACTCAGGCACTGCTTATTTTACAACTGTATATGCATCTGGGCATTGCTGATTCATAGTATTCATGCAAAAGGATGAGCAATTTTAAGTGTTTTGCATAAAAGCGAAATTTACAGCTACGGAAAGTTGTCACCACCCTTAGTATAGTAATCCCAGTTGAAGTGATGGCTCGATTCTGTTATGAAACTAGAATTAGGCTTTGATAGCGCATTTTAGGTGTGCTATTCGTGCAGACAACCGCTACATGAAAGATCTGCGATTCAACGCTAAAGGCTGACTACGGTCAGCTTAGGTTCAGTAAGTGTTTGACACTCCTCTTCCTCTGGACTGATAGTGAATTTGCAATTTCCTGTTCTTCATATAGCCTGTATGACACCCGTTTGCATGGTCTCTAAGCTTCTCACTTAAGGTCTAGACCACCAAACAATAGTGGACCTCATTGTCTACCGTGGTCGAAATACTCAAGAAACGCACAGCAACTTACTTCACTGCAACGACATTCACTTATAACCACAAATCAATAATAATTTTCATTTTTATCCTTTGGAACTTCAGCGGGAAAGTGACAATTCGGAAGTTCAAACTCGGTAACTCAAATGAACAGAACAACAGTCCACCTTTTGTGCCACGGAGTCCCACACAAGATAGGAAATCCAGGGGTCATATTCAAAGAAAGGACATCGTTACCGCAAGTGAATAGAATGGGTCAAAAGTCAAATAAAAGGGGCTGTTGGGTAAGCAGGATGCTTTAAAAGTTGGCAGACAATATCACAGTAAAAGATGCTCAAAAATCACTTGCATGCGTTATTTCAAGACACTCTAAACTATACTCGTCACCTAACTGAGTTTTCTACTCGGGCTTTTTAATATGCAGTAGGCTTCAACTCACGCGGTAGCGGAGGGCAGGTAAACACGCGCTTTTGAACCGGTGGACCGGCCATCTGGCTACAGCCGGAGTGTCGGACACCTATAAAGTCACAAAAAGATTACATTATATTTGAGTGGAGAAGTCTTCTTTCCACTGGGAATTTAAAGCTGCTTAGCTGAATTCTGTTAGTCTCGGCGCGTAAGCCAACCATCATCAAGGCGTTGATAAAAGAAGGTGTTTTCAAAGAAAATGCTTTACTGGCATATACAACCGACTTATATCAACGAACAGGGAGCGGGATGAGGTGCGAAGTAGATTTGGTACTTATATCTATGATTTTTTTCACATTTGCCTTTGAAGTAATCAGTCAGTGCATTTAAGGTACATAAGTTGGTATTCAGTATGTTTATTTTTTATTATGTTCCGTAAATTTCTTCAGTCGCACCCTGCCCGAACTGCTGTTAATGTGCACACTAAAGCCCACCTAAATTGCAAACTTTTTCTGCCAATAAATCAGCAGAATATATTTTCAAAGACACTGCACAAGTTTTGATGATTATTCCGAAGCTCAACGCAAATGAGACTGATGTCACAATTCTGTAGGTTAATCATATCCCAAAAGCTACTCACCACTCGTAGACTGTGATTTCACTGCTTTGGTTATGGCTTCAACGGACGATCTTCTCTTCGGATTGCTCGCTAAAATAGAGTACACGTTTTTTAGCTGATGTTCAGTTGTCTATGTCCGCTCGCCAACATTTAAATGTAGCTAAAAAAAGTCCCTCATTTAAGATCCACATGTGACTATAGGGGAATTTAAATTTACTTTTGCATTGAGATTGTGATTCTGGTTAAAGCGAAAAGGAAAGTTTTATTCTGAATGCCTCTTAGAAATTAAAAAAGATGCGACATAACATGAAACTTCAAATATTTTGAAGGCCTTGTAAAGGCCCGGCACAGATGTTGCTACTAACATGAAAAAGTAGGCCGTTTTTTGCTTTGAAAATATATTCCCTCGTGTCATAAGCTCTTTCAAATATCCACACTCTATGTATAAAGCGGAATGTGGAACACATCTCTAGTGATTTTAAGACCGACCTAAAATAATGTGAAAATGTTAATATAAGAAGGTAAGTGAAACATGACATTTGCGCTGCAGCAACGTATTTAATGTAGCTTTGATATTCCTGTTGAAACACGGCCGATAATGCGGTTATGCCAAATGTTAAACATTACTAAGATCGACAAACGCCAGATAGCATAGAAGCGAGGTTATTTCCACGATTTTCGTAGAATGTCGTTCCAAGGGAAGACCCGTGGATCTTGTTTGGTAGAAGCTGTAAATTACATTGTCGCGCATCTATTTTTTAGCACATTTATTTCTCAGACGCTCTACATTGTGAGTGATTCCATATTTAAAAAGAGAATTTTCGACCTATTTACGAATTATCGCAACAAATTAAAAACCGATAATTCTAGAAATTCAAGATGACAGTTACCTTTGCCGAAATTGCAAGGGTCTGCTTGCGAGCAGTTTCGGGCTCTTTCACGACTCATTTCACGTCCAGTTGAACGGGCTGAAAAATGAGTTTTAAAGCAATTGCTCGCAATGAGACGACAAAAGATCACTAAAATCAAACTAACTGGAAACGCGACAGGGCTTAGTCACACACACCACTTATCGGCTGAAATTAATGTTTGGCTTTATTTGTCCAACAACACTGAGAAGAACATAAGCTCTAACTACTTAGTGTGCATAGTCAACTGTAAGTCCACTTGGGGCAAGATATTCTCAATGATCTTACTTATTATGTTTTGCTATTTACATTCTATTAGGTATGCTTAGTGACCCTGCTTTGTGGGCTTTAATATGATAAGTCTTGTGCTTTTGATTTCGTACTTTCTCCTGCTTAACTATATCCTGTTGGTCGAATAATCAGAATCTCGATGGCAAAATTCAAGGTCAATGCAATGAGATGAGAAGACTAGGTCAAATTCAGCAGTATGGGACATACCTCTGGGTTTACAATGTTGGATAGCTGCTGTTCTCTCACTAACTGGAAGAAATTTTCACAAATAACCAAAATTTAATATGCAGGAATCATCTTTTACAGTGGATTTTCACAAATGGTGTTCGAAAACTAATATTCGAGATTGTAAAGTGTGAAACTTCGCAGACGCTTACAGTAAACTTCAGAGGTTGATCCGAAGTCGTGAGAACCGGCTTTGCTTTTCTGCCAACCTGAAAATTTTAAAGTAAACGAATGCTTGACCGCTCAAAACTAAATATCAAGGGGCATCACAAGAAGGAAGAGATATTTTGAGATATATAGTCAAAAAGAACCAAAAAGTACCTTTGCCCTTTTCTCTTGATGTACGACGATTTGGTCGGACACCTGAAAATGGATATTAAAAAGTTGGAGTCAAAAAAGATAACTGGCAACTGTCAAAATGTTAACACACACTAAAGTTAGGACTTTACAGTAGACACTTTGAACTCTACCATGTGAGGATGGAGCAGAGGCCAATTCGGTGACTATTTAAAAATTTAAAAGAGGTTGTTAAGCGTAAACGTTTAAAAGTTGTAATTTATTCGCGCATGGGTTCGCGCATAATGTTACCTGCGTAGGGTTTAACAGTTCTCCGTCGCGGGTCGGTTCGTTCTACAAGTTAGGAAAAAATATGACTGATTTGCCTAGTTGGCAGGTTTTTAAGAAAACCAATCAGGTATTTAAATGTTCTAGATATTCTGAGAAGAAGACGTCACAATTCTATAATTTCGGCCACTCAGATTAACAGTTATATCGTTCACTCTATAAATTTAAACTTCAAGTGAAGAATGAGAAGCATTTTTGAAAAATAATATGTGGAAAATTGTCTTTGAATGCTGGGTGACTGGCTTTCACGTAGATAGTTATTTCTTTAAATTATGATGGTCTATTACTTGAATTACACCCAGTCAAGACGATTTAAACGAGTGACGATACGCCGCAACTTTTAAAGCTTAGGCGTACTCAGTAATTCCATAGTTTAGATCATAAAATCTCCTAAAAGAATACTTGGATTTAAAGCTACCTATAACTGGCTACGTGTAATTAACTAAGCATAATAGAATGAGGTCGCAGAGAGCTATGAACTTCATATATGATTTCTAGAACATGTATTGTTAGCACCGGCAACGACATAATGATTTTAACAGAACATTGTCGGTAAAATTCGACTGCGAGGGTGCAAAAATTGTTAGCAAACACGGGCATTAAGTGTACTTTGTGTTTTTTGGTAAAAACCAAAATCCACCGCAACTTTACATTCCCTAAAAACAATCATCTGTCTGCGACAGATGATTCATGTGCATGCTTTTAGGGAGAAATAGTCATGATGAATGTAAAACTGGTCTTTAACGTTCTAAAAATACACTTGGGTGCTCAAAAACCGTCTCACTTCCCAATCAATGAGCTAACCAATTGCATTCAAGGCAAAATAATTTATAACAAAGTTAAAAAATACATATTGAGGCAGTATGTTTTAAACTTTTCCGACCTGTTTGCAAGTCTGTTAATTTGCATACAAAACAGTAGGTAAGGCTCTTGTTAGGCAATATCGTACCGTATCTCAACTCATATCGCGGAGGGTTGCTTCTGGGTCCTGTAAACGTTAAGTAAATTATCACGTTAGTAGCGAGTTCCTTGAACAGGAGGCATTATGACAAAACTGCCTGAGAGCACGACCTAATTATTTTTCCGAGCCACAAAACGTTTCTTTATCTCTCAAAATATAATAGTCGTTCGAGCTTGAATAAGTATTTTCCTATACTTAAAAGGAAATCCTAAAGCTTTTCTTTAGGTAAGCTTAAGGTTTTATCTGGAAAGTACAAGAATTTTCAGGCATCATGTTGCGTACACACAATAAACCCCTTCTTTGCAATACTAATTTTTAAAGTTCATGCTTATTCGCTAGTCGTTTTAGTGTGCGGTATAGTATTGTCTGTCTGTTCTCCTGACGTTTCTGTGTTACATATTTTTCCTAGAAGTTACGAAAAAATGGATGGGTAGAAAACTCCATTTGCCTGAAACGCTGTCAACCATACTGTATTAATGGAATTGCAAAGCATCATTTACGTCTGACTGATAGATTACTGTGAGCATAAGATGCGAGACATGAGCCTCGAACATTTCACGATATACTTACTTGTGCTTGTCTGGACCATGATCTTCAAAACAAAGTCCCCGTTAACGCTTCTTTTTCCCGTGAGTAGGTATAAAACGCTTTTCAAAATTAATCCTCACAAACTGCAGCCAATAGGAGCTCGGGTGAGTGTCGCCGTCAAGTGCCCTGCAAACTGACACGTCGTCCGCCACGACACCCCACCAGTCTTGGGCTTAGTGACTAGTCAGATGCTTAGGTTGTGTGCGTGTGTTGCTGTGCGGGTCTGAGTGACTCTTCGCGCAAGACACATGATCTGCCTGCCGCTAAAAGGAAACTGAGCGAGACGCAGACTAGAATGGCAGACACGAACTTTCGGGATATTCCTGAGGGGGTGTGTGGGCGCCTGTTTGAGCCCGTGCAATACTGAGCGTGTGAGCACTTGTGAAAAAAAGTCTGTAAAAGTGGAGTTTCGTTTCGATCAACCGATTTTAATGTTCAGTGAATATTGACATTTGTACAGGGCTGCTAACCCAGAGATAAGTAATTGTAATGTTGCTAAGTGTTTTGCTAGGTGACAAAATTTGACGAGGCCGAGAATGACAATATCGGTTTTGTGTGTCGATGGCAGCAGTGCTTTCCGGTAATCTAGTCTTTCAGCAGCAGGACCTGCCGTTCACCTAATCCTCAATGCGTTGACGTAAGTCAGCAAAGGAATGATTAAATTGCGATTGAGATTGCTTTGTTTCTCAGAAAGCAAAATGGGGTCTTGGACTAAAGTCCTGGAAACCAGCGCTTTCTAGGTTTACATTGGAAGTCCGCATGGCTACGTGGGCTTCTACGAAGAAACTGCGCAGCATCCGCACACTGAAAAAAATAACCAGTTTCACTTAAATTCAGCGACGATATCTATTTAAATATTTCAGAAGTCAAGTCCGACAAACACGCTTTCGATTAGTCATCATCAGGCCTGTACAATAGTATAAGGAAGAGTAGAATGGCAAAAGTTAAATAGCCAATGAAAAGTAGGCATAGGGAAGAGGGTCGAGGACGCTTAGAGGTCAGGGGACATAGTATAGGTCTGTCGGGGCTTAGGAAGGGAGAGGGGGGGTCTGGCAATCAGCTACAGTAGGTGGGCTAACTTATAAAATGTCAACCGAAATTCCCAAATGCGTTTTCGTTTCGAGAAGATTGATTAAATAGGGTTGTAAAACTAATTATCATGCAGCATACTTCTATAATAATTCAGTTACCCCAGGACTTCTTTCCGGCCGCATGCAAAAACTATACTCTGTAAAAAATGGCTACTTAAGCAGCATGCATTTTTCTCATTGATTTTCAATGCCCTTAAAAATTCAATTATTCTTCATGAAAAACATTTATAAAAATATTCATTTTAGCCCTCATTCGCTGGAAATGTTCGGCTCCTTTAAATTATATACTCGAAGGAAGGGGATAATTCGGTTTTCAAAAACTTTCCCAATTCCCTAATAGTTTTGAGTCCGACCAGCCGTTACATTTGCATTCAAGGTTTCAAACCTGCAAGCCGTATATTTTCCGCGTTCGGAAAACCATACATTCCTCTGCGGTATTAAGAGGCGAGTATATGGGGCTCATAAAATTAAGTAGTGGATTTCATTGGCTGTTTAACTTTTGCCATTCTTCTCTTCCTTATCTTACTGCAGAGGCCCGATGATAAATAGTCGAAAGCATGTTTGTCAGATCTGACATCTTAAATAGGCAATAGTTTATGAATGCTGGTTGATTTGCCCTACTCCTAGCGCAGGTACTAGTTAAAACCTCAGACAGGTATATGGCAAACCAACCGGCATTTTAGCTTACCGACTGACTGTTAGCAGGCAACGAATATCACGCGATTTCATTTGAAATATCCATACCAATTTTCGGATCAAACTTGCAAAGGCCTACTTTGATGGTTTTACGCCATGCCCACACCGTAAGTTCTACGGAAGGCAGAAGTAAATTGTAAGTCCTTATATACCCAAAAGAATTCGAGGAACGTAGATGGACTCATCGGTGAGGCCAACTCTTGCATCTACATCACGAGGCAACAACAGTTCGGCCAGTCCCTGCCTGGGCTTTTGCCTAGTACTCAAGCTGGGGGTTTGGGAAATCAGTAGATAACACTGAATGATTTCAGGTTTTCCGGAAGCCGGTTTACTTTATATGAGAGCACGATGTAAGTGTAATGTGTTTAAACGCCGGATCTTTGCGTCTTCAGTTGTCAGAGCGTGCATCGAATTGTGAGTACCCGAGGTTGCTAAATGAATATCAAGAAGGCGTGATAAAATTGAGACAGTCTTTACTATTGATGTTCAGTGGAGCCTTACCGAAATTTTTAAAGAAGCCGGATTCTTCACACAGCAACTTAATGTTATTTGGCCCTATAAATTTCTCAAGGTTTGCCCTATGCTGCCAGCAGTTCCTTTCCAACTACACTGTTAAGAAAGTGCTGGTGACTAAAGTGTCAGTTTTATTTTAAATCAGTAGGAAATAACATATTCTAGTATTAGACGCATGCTGGAAGCCACAAACATATACCACCAATGGACAGTTTTAAATAAATGAAGGTAAAGTGATTGGCGACGCCTTCTAAGATGCCATAAATATGATTAATCTGCTACCAAGTAAATTAAATAAAAAATAAAATGACTGTACTGAAGGCGTCACCGACATGGTCCGCTTCTTGAGAACTCGAGTACGCATCGCTAAGTTTAGCACCATATACCAATTTCTTATGTCACTGAGAGGTTACGTATGACTGGCTGACGACGGATAATAAGTCAAAAACGTCCACTCCAACCTCCCTTATCTTTGTCGACAATGCTATTCTACTTATTGGGGCTCTTGGATGTGGGCGTCCACCCGCAAAACAGAGTTTGTTTCTATAATCACTATGTTATCTAAAGTCCAACCTGGCCCCTTTTTCCCAAGGCAGTCACTAGCAACTACTGTTTTCTTTTCATGTTGTTGGCTCCAAAACTTTCGCATTATTATCCGTTTAATTATAACAAAACCGAATACGTGACGCCTAAAACAAGCCATTGGTTAGATTGAAATTTACCAGCAAGTTTCAAACTTCCCGACTTCTCCGGGGCATCCAAGACATTTATGTGCAATCGGCCGCTGAGTTTTATCCAGGCCAGCATATTAACCTGGCAACGTTAATTCCTGAAGGTTTAGCAGTTGACTTTAGTGCACATAGTGGGTAGTTTAAGCGTACATACATATCTTACCTTTGCATTTAAATAATCACAAAGGCAAAGACATGGAGAAATTAACTGATGGAGGAGTGATTGAAAATTCAAAAGTTGATTGTAAAATTTATCCAACCAAGTAAATCAGCGTTTACTGAAATTGCCGCCAAAACCGATGGACCGTAGACATGCTCCTTCAGGCGACCGCCTCCTTTTTCTTTAAATTTATGTTATTCTAGTTGGCTTTTTGAACCAGAGTCTCCTTTTACTGACCATGCATTTTCACTTCGAACTGACAATGGCTATTTAGAAAATGAAGGAAATATTTCAATGCAAGGTTTGACTTGGATGAACAGCCGCGAAATGCGAACCAAGTGGCAGTTGGCTAGCATGCGGTTAAGCTGCGCTTCAAACATCAAATTAATGCATTTATCTGAATTTTAGATAAAAAAAGTTTAGAAAATTCTCCTCCGATTGTTTGTGGCCGGCTGGGGGCATAAGGCTGCGAAACATTCTAAAGGTGTTTGTTTAAAAAGCACTCTGCATAAAAATAGAATCTGAAGTGCGAACAAGACGGGAACCCCTTGTTCTACACGAGGCGAATGCAATTCGGCAAGGTTCGCCAAAAATGATACTCTATGTCCTATTTTGGACAAAATGGTCTGTTTCCTGATTGGCACAGGCGTCGAGACAATAGATTCTGTACCATTAACCGTCCGGGCCGATGTTAGAATAAAGGTTTCATGATGACTGTGACAGTCTACCATGGGTTCGAATGCGAATACAGCCGTCAACATTGGTCATTCATAGACGTTTAACTTTCCTGTATGACAGTCTTCGACAGCATGGTCAAAAAAGTAAAATAGCAAGTAGGGTGATCGTATAACAAAACGCTGCCTTATATTCGTTAACCCACAAAACTAAATGATTGTCGCTTTTCTGCAGACACCTTTACCTTTTCGCAAACGAAACTCATCAGCTATCAGAAGGCTGATTAATAGGTTCTCGGAAGTTTTATTGGTTGTGGGAGTCCATAATACTACAGCAGATTATAAATTAACATATGTCGCGGCTAAAAATACGTAGACTATAGTGGTTTTTAATTCTCTTAATACAGTTCTTGTCACCTCTCAGATGTGCCACTAAATTTAATGGTTGCGATCAGGGATATCTCTGGCATCGGGATAAAAACGGTCAAGCTCCATTATGAGGATATTCTCAAGACGTAGCCGAAACCACAGTGAATTACACAAGTTTTCTTGGAGTTAAAGAGATTATTAGGATAAATAGGGTCGGATTGCAGCAGTGAAGACGCTAACATTCAGATAAGCGCTTATTCGCAAATGCTTCCCCATCTTTTCTGCTGCATTAAGACACTTGTTGACTCCTGTCTGTATGAAAATACTGAATCGGCATGTTCCAATGTTTAAATCTTCCCCTATTGTTAGTGAGCGCCACTGTTCTATCTCATCTTCCACTTGACCGAAAGGTTATTGAAGAAGACTCTAATCGGATTTCGACCACTGACACTCCATACGTCCATGAACATTAGAATATTTGCCTCAGTATCCGACGACAGTTTGATCAAATTTATGAAAAATAGAGTCAGACTCTGAAGACTGCATTTGTTGACAAGTCGATATAACTAAAAAAGGACTGACAGGTAAATAACATCTGTGATATATTTTAATGCCCGTTAGAGAGCTTTTGAATTGATTCTCCGTACCATCTAATTCCTCGGTTGCCATAAACGTACACTTGCCTGTACGGCGTCCTTTTAAGATATTGTCCAATAACCCTTGACATTACCAGCTTTCGTGTCCGAATTTTTTTAAATGTCCTCCTT